GTGTCAATGACAGAAGGGAATGGAGATTATCTGCGTTCTTGTTTGAATCCACACACACTGCTTATACCCGAAATTAATTTTTGTCTTCTCGTCGTCGTCGGGAGCTGATACGTGTATAGTCGCTTTTCATCGCGACTCGACGTTATCATGCTTCGTTCGTCACCTGTTTTAAAGGTGTCGTCGTCTCTGAAAGATAAACCTTTTTAATTTTCAGGGGAATATATTAATGCTTGATACCCAATTTTTCATGCGGGTCTTCAGCATGAGAATGTGTGGAAGCAAAAGGATTTTTTTTTGTGTTTCACCAAGTGCGTTCAGTTCAGTATGTGACGCAGAAGTTTTGAAGTGAACCAGAAAGTTTGCTGCTTTATAACGATTTCTTACATTTTTATCCGTGCTTGGATAACAATTCGAACAAATTTTATCATGCTGGCACTCTTTTCCAGCTTGATTTTGAACGAGGTGAATTGTCGGCGTTGCCATTTTTTCACAGATCAGACGTGATCTGTAGAAAAATCTACTGATCGAATTATTTTTGGGAACAGTGTTCGGAAGAAAAGTAATTGTCACCTGCTTTTGATGACCAGATGATTTTTGATGACCTTGCCAAATTGTTAGTATACCAAAAGTACCAGATTCTATGATTTTTTCGCTGTTGCATGTGTGTCACCTAAAAGTTGTTACGCTCTTCTAGATCATTTTTGAACGAATTCAGGTTATATTTCATACTGTATGGTTAAGTTTATTTTTGGCCTGGATAAACGAGGTTAGCTTATTCAAAATGTAAAACTCAAAATATCGAATGCTCCCGGGGAAGATGATTGATACGAAAAGAAGCTGTGATAAGGAAACCAATGTTCGTATCGTATGCCTTGAAATGGCAGCCCAAAGCGGTCTGAAACCATTTTTGGTGACACCTGTACTTAAATTGCGGTACTGCGAGTCTCGAAAATTACCATTAACCCGAAGAACCGAGATCAAATAATTTCTTGAATACAAAATGCTGTGTATAGGCATTTTTGGATCCACTAAGTGCTCAATGGATTTCCCACACAAATTGGTCAAGATATTCTTGGAAAGCTCGCAACTTCATTTCCATGCGGGTGACTGATGACGCAGAGTTGGAAGTCGTACTGCATCATATGATATGTATGAAAGATCCTTTGTTGATTCAACCCTTGAAGTTCTCCCTAAAACTTTATCTGTTAAAGTCCATAGGGTTTATTTGGGTGCAACTTATACTTACTTGTTTGAGGAAAGCGCGTTGGATTCTATTTGCGTCAGCACTTGCGATAACTTTGATGTTCGCCTTCCGACCCTTCAAAGTCTGGCTGGCATCAGTCACAGCAGATAGTCGGTCCTCGACGGAAGAAGTGTATATGTTTTAAACCAGTGCTCCCCAACCTTTTTAGGCCCGTGGATCGGCAAATCGCTTTAAAATGTATTGCGGACCGGCAAGTTAAAAAAAACTTTCTTCAGTTTTATTTTTGTATAATTTTTCCGGACTCAAAAGTTCAGCTTGAGAGCTTTATGCAGGCATTTAAAAGGTTTCTGTTTTTTTTTCTTCAAAAATTAAGATCCAATGAAGCAGGCGTTGATAGTGGAAGGTTTTCTAAAATTTAGAAAGTTGGGCTTGGAGAAAAATTTTAAGACTGAAAAAATTAAAAACAATATTATTTCAGCGTGTGAAAATTTGTTTGAAGTGTAATTAAGATAAATCCAAATTATGCTTTTAGATAATTGCAGCTACCTTTGCTTTTTGGAAGTTTCAAATTAAGGAACAGATTCATTCCCACTTTTCTCAATATATTATGCTGCAGAATTTTTCCTGCAGGCTGGCAGAAAACTACTGCAGACCAGCACCAGTTCACAAATCATGGATTGGAGAACACTGTTTTAAAGTGCATATGTTCTGAATTACAATCAATTTTTGGTGGTTTCATGAATTTGAGGTAATTCAAATTGAATTACAGATACTGTAATTCCAAATGAATTTGTTCCTATATCTAATCAGTGCCTCTATTGTTGCATTTGGCGTGCCTCATTAAAATTATATACTGTACATGATTAGCTGACAGAATCTTGCCAAAAAATCTGATACTGTAGTTCACTTTATTTCTTGATTTGAAAATCAATTCTTGAATTGGCAATCGAGAAAAATTTGGGTTTTGGTGCATGCAGAGCTTATTTACAGTTTATATTCTTCATTTAGAGTAGCCATAAAAATACTGCATTATTATACAAAAGGTAGTACTAAAGCTATGTTGTTTTTTCGGCAACCTTGTAAAGGGATTTTTAAAGGTTTTTTCTAAGAAATAAAATATTTTCGCAGATTCATTTCCTACTTTTAATCTTAGTTTTGATTATATCAAATTTGTTTCTGGATATTCCTGGGATTCCAATCTGAAATAATATATATACAGTAAATATATACAGCACAGTATATTAGAAGTGTTTCTTCCTGTTTCTTTCACAGATGAGTTGACTTCAGTGTAGGATACGGTGCATAATTACTGTACAATACTCAGTCACAAACATTTTCAAATGATTTTTTTCATTTGCGGCACCCAGGGATCTGAAAGGGCAAAGAACTAATTAATTTAGTGTGCATATGTCTTCAAGATAACTGAAGTGGCGAACAGTTCAAGGGACGTTTCATTAAATTACTGCTCATTGAATAAATAGCATCTGTGTATGCTAAAATTTATATGATCGAGTCTCTTCGCATTCATCAGGCGATAATTTCAAGCCAACATTAATTCTGAAGTTGCGACAAAAACGACGAGACTAGAATATTGTACTATGCAGTATTACTTCTCCCTCGAGAAAATCTTATCACAGAGAAACGTGGTTGAGTAGCCTCAAGTTTTCGAAGAAAACGCTTACTCGTCTTCCAGCGGTTGCATCATTAGTTCATGGAAGCTCAAAATTCGTGAAACTTTAGAAATGGTTTGTAGATAGAGTTTGAAGAACTGGCGATGACGCAAGTTTTCTAGGAGCGCGTCAGAAGCGCACTGCCTCCTGGGCGACATATTTATCAAATATTCATTCATATTTCTTAGAACTGAGTAGGTGTCGCTCTATATCTACTGAACGGATTCGTCGATCTTACGCATATTTATGCACGGGATGTTTTCAAAACAATGAAGAAGGTGTCGCTTTAAGCCACGCGTATGTGTACAACTACTCGCTGGTCGTTTAGTCCAAATCGTAGACATGCCAATTCTTGCCGGATCTATTCCAGAACTCGAGATTTTATCGTGCAGTTTCAATTCTTCCGCTATTATGAATACTGTTGATTGAGAGTATACTGATTAAGACAAGTATACAGGTTTCATGTAATTGGCCCCATCCAGACCGATTATTTTTGATGCATTCTTCACGGATGAAGCTTCGAAAGGATTATAAATTTCAAATGTCGAAGGCTGCTTCGTATGAAAAAAAAAGAAATATATATCTTATTAGTGGAACCGAAGAGTTTCAACTGCATTTTGTTCGTGAATTTTACCTCGAGCGATAAAGACCAACCGGATATCTCCTGTGGAATGCAAAGAAATGATGGTTATATTCGAAGAGTGCGGAATTTTCTCCCTGCTGATGAAGCCTTTTTCTCGGATTTCACACTAAGCCATTGTTGAGCGGGAAGCTCGAATGCTGTACAGTACAAGGTCGTTACTTTCATGGGAATGCGCGGCCTATCCATGCTGGACATCTTGAGAGTACATGTACAGTACTGCAGCGTACATAGGCCGCAGGAGCAATTCTGAGAGATGTAGGAAAGACTGCTGCGTTTGCGTGTGTGAGGGAGTGAACGCTTCACAATATTCACACTGGGAACATAGAGGGAGAAAGGTACGAGGAATGGAAAAGAGATAGAGAGGGATCGTGATGGGAGATGGCGAGACAGAAGGACAGGGGAAGCAGCCCCATACATGTGGCTGGCTTGCCCAACTTGCATTTTGTTGCTGCCCAAGCGCAATGGGAGTGATGGGGCGAGCGTAGAGCAAGAATCCCAGACGAATGCCAGTCGGGTCCGCGCGAACGGAGCTGGAAGCTTATGCGCGGTATCAGGGGCCCCACGTAGCTCTTTTCCCGATGCTGAAACTGTGATCACTTCAACTCGAATTCAATTCATCTTTTCTTCGCGATGGTAGGAGGAAAAGAAGAAATAGCGTCGTTGGCTGGTTCTCTTACTTTTTGTGAAGATCAGAAAGCGTTTCGTGTGGTGTGTGATCGATGGATGAGAATTTCTGTAGGTTCTCCATTCTGTGCGTTTCAAGCGCGCTTGCTCAACAACATTAAATTATCGTGCTGCATTTGAATTTATCTTGGAAGTACCTTGTATACTCGAAGATCAGACGGTATTTCGAGGAATGAGTACGCGTTTTATATTCCATGATGGAGCAAGACCTAAAATTCGCGTGCTGCTTTTAATCTCAATATTAAAAAATAAATGAAAATCGAGTTATAAATTCAAGCAGCGAATCATCACTAAAATTTTCAGTTACAATATCCTAGTGTTAGAATCGTTATTCATGTTTGGAAGTGTTTGCGGTGATCTAGCTGAAGTACAGACTCTTGTGAACCCGAATACTGTACAAGATTGATGTAAAATTAATTTGATGACCGCGTGTCGTACATTCGCTGTGGAAATCGTTCGAAGTGTAGAGGCACATTTTAATTGTATTAATGGATTTTTTAAATTCAGAAATCATCGCGTAATTGGCGATTATTTAATAATCTACTGTAATATAAAGAATGTTGATGCATGATGGGATTTGACGTACGGATCTCAAGAAGGTTTCGCCATAGTCAGTCATGTTCAAATTTTATCTCAACACGGAAGTAGGATAACCGTATTGAGAATGCTCTTTTTCTGCATTTTTGGATGGGATGTGTCTGACGGAATTCTTTTTTTTTTATTGTTGTCCATATTGGGTGTAGGACAGACAAGTATTTGTACGATATTTTCTAGTCCCTTGTTCGCGTGAGGGGCCAAGATGATTGTGATTTTCGGATCCCTGAAGGGGTTGCTCAAGATCGATGAAGTATGCATCGATAACAACATCTTCCGCCTGCACTACAAGGCTACCATGATTTTCCTCATCGCCTGCTCGCTACTAGTGACTAGCAGGCAGTACATTGGAGATCCGATTGATTGCATTGTGGATGATGCTGTTCCTGCCAGTGTGATGGACACGTACTGCTGGATCCACAGCACTTTCACGATCCCAAATCGTCTTGGTGAGAAGGTTGGTGTGAATGTGCCTCATCCCGGGGTTGGTCCTGAAGGTGAAGATGAGAAGAAGTACCACAAGTACTACCAGTGGGTGTGCTTCTTCCTGTTCTTCCAAGCCATTCTCTTTTACGTTCCCCGCTACCTGTGGAAAACGTGGGAAGGTGGGAAAATCAAAATGCTGGTCATGGATCTGAACAGTCCAATTGTTGAGGAAGGGACCAAGGAATCACGCAAAAAGCTATTGATTGAGTATTTCAATAACAATTTGCACAGCCAAAACTTCTACGCACTGCGATTTTTCCTCTGTGAGGTTCTCAATTTTGTCAATGTTATTGGGCAAATCTACTTCATGGACACGTTTTTGGGAGGAGAATTCACTACTTATGGTTCAGACGTGCTCAGGTTCCAAGAGCAGGAACCAGAGGAGCGAACGGACCCAATGTCGAAGGTGTTCCCGAAAGTGACCAAGTGTACCTTCCACACTTATGGTGTGTCAGGAACTGTGCAAAAAATTGACGGACTTTGCGTGCTGCCCCTGAACATTGTCAATGAGAAGATCATGGTGTTCCTGTGGTTCTGGTTCATCATCGTTGCTGTGGTTTCTGGACTGGGTCTCTTGTATCGCATTGCCATAGTGTTCACATCCCAGGTTCGACTGGTGCTTTTGAGATCCCGATCAAGGCTCTCTTCGACTGAAGATATTGAATTCATCAACTCCAAATGCGAGATTGGGGACTGGTTTGTTCTCTATCAGCTTGGCAAGAACATGGACCCACTGATCTTCAAAGAGTTCATTTCTGATTTGGCGATGAAGTTGAATGGAAAAGAACCCTGAATTGTAAGGTATGCATCAGTTGATCTGAAATAAAATAAAAAATTAATCGATCGCCCGCAATCCTCTTGACTGATCCAATTTTCTTCTTGGTTTCAATCCATTTTCAGTTCGTGACCAGATTCCATCTTACGCATGCTGGTGTTCCTGGTTGCTGATTGGTTGCAATTAGCATCTTTTTAATATGAAACAACATCAGGAGGGAGCAGAAGGCTGCAGTAATTTTTATTTCTTGAAGAGACGTAATGCTGTTCTGTATGTGAGCTTCCATTGTCACTGTCCAGATGTCTGTTTGTTTTGCTCATGAGGAACTTGTAAATTTCTGGCATTCCTGATTTCTTATTGACAGAAAGAAACGTTTCAATGCGGGGGACCAAATTTCTTGTGTTTACTATTTGTAGAGAAAGATGCCTGTTGGGGACCAATTTGTAGGTGGATAGGTGTAATTGAGGAATGCACGGATGAATGCGTGTCATGTGACTCATGTCTGTTCATAACTGCGAAGTTTATGAGAAGAAAAAACTTTTTTTCTCTGGTTGCGAGTGATGTTTCATTTTCCTGGTGTTCGCGCATTGAATGAAGGTTATAATTCGATTGCAAAAAAGCAATACTCCGCAAATTTTGATGCGTCAGAGCTCGAATAAACGACAGATTCTTTTACTTCGTTTATAATCATCTTCTTGAATTAATGGGTGTTTCCAAGGGTATTTGCTTGGGTTGGCTCTTTGAAAAAAATGTTGATTGTTCCAACTTGAAAAACATGGTCAGCTGGATGAAATGTTTTTTATTATAAAATGTCAGATCATCTACAGAGTGTGGGGGGGGGCGATGCGCCAATTTTATAGCTTCTTGAAATTAATGCATAAAAGACAATTGTGCCAAAATTTTACTTTTTGGTTAAACTCCTTGAATTGGAAAACAGTAAACTATATAGTATATTCTGCTTGATTGGGCCACCGCATTTTCGGGTCCAAATTGAAAAATCAAAACCTGTCCACCAAAATTACATTCATTATGCCCTTGATGGAAAAAAAAAATGCTACCTAAAGCAACATCACATATAATTTTTCATTCTAAATGTTTTCTTGTTGAGAGGAATTCGCGTGTGCCATTTTATGCTGCTTTCAAGTCATGGCTTTTGTAAATGCATTTTTCCTCATCTATTTTCTTGTTCTACGATCAATTATAATAACTCAGTGAACGCAATTTTACTTCACAGAAATAAAGCATCATTTGAAACTATCGTGGTTCAATTTAGTCCAATTAAGTCTTGTTTCTCATTATTTCTCCATATCTTGGATTTTTGTGTCCCCGTTTTATTTATTTTTTGTAGCAAGAAATGTGTTTTTTGCTACAGTCAACAGATACCCTGGGTATTAAGGTATTTCATAGAAGATTTATTACTTTTTATAAATATTGGCACACCTACATTAGCGCGAGGAGATTCTAACCGCGAGTAATGAAGATTTGTAATTTTTGGGGAATATAAAAATATGTGATTTTGGTCAAATTTTGCTATTTCCCCAATACAGTATCACATCCCTCAAAATGTTCTGTGTAGGAAATTAAAGCAAGGCCTCATCTGTTTAAATTTTATACCTAACAAATAGCTTTTTTCTTCAGCATGGTCCTCTGCTTATTGTAAAAAGGCTAAAAATACATCAATTTTATTATTTTTGTTATGAACTTAGGTTTTCAAATATCCCTTTAAATTTTTTAATGGTGCGGCGATGAGAAGGTGTAATATGAAAGGAGATGATATTTAATGTTGAAATTATGTTTTACAACCATCTGGATGAATTGTAACGTAAACCAACTGTCAAGTATGGGTGCAGCACCTCGAACTTGTGTTTACTGCATTAGTGACCAGAAGGCCTGATTGAAGCTGAGAATGGAACACTTATGGTCTCAAGAATGTTATGCCTAAAGAAACTGGTTTCCTGACTCGCCCTTGTGATTTTAATCGCCATCTTCAAATCGAAACTGTCTTTGTTAACCCTGAAGAGTGGCCCAAAACTTTTAAAACTAATCTTGAAATAAGATTCAGAACAGAATAAGTATTTCGAGAAGTAGAAATAATCAGGATATATTTAAATTCACGAGAACACTTTATTTCTGGTGCGTTGAATTCCTTTTTTTTTTCTGCCAGTTTTTCCTGGTGGGTGATATACAAATGGCAGTAACAATCATGATATGGCCAACATCCAAGGTCACAACCGCCATTTACAATTTAACTCCATTTCATCTGAGGAAATTATGTTATTAAAATGTGTAGATTTTAGAGTATTGCTGCATGAAAATCGGTCGAAAACTTTCTGGCCACATTTCTTCGAATGAAATTGAAATGATGCTGGAACCAGCTAAGGAGCTTTTTCGAGGCGTACTTTTTTAGGAACTCGGTGAATTGATCTCTGCGAATTCTCATCCAACGCGGGGTTTCTCTTCAGAACTGGGTACTGGTCCTGACCCCGTCTCCTGGTTGAATGACTGATGCATCAATCATTTCGACGCGCATAACATGATTCGCATGGCATCAATCTTGCGTGGGAACGATATTAGAGAATTTGTAAACATCTTCAAATTCAGGTCTTCAAAATATCCGTCGTGGTTCTCAGAATACATTGACTTGTGATACTGCGCAGAAAAGAAACCCGTGCTCCAGAATCACCATTTTCCCATCTAATAATCAAACAAAATATTGTGGACTTTTTTCCATGAGCAATGGAGATACACTTTGATTGAAAGCTCATGCAAACATTATGCATATACATAAAAAAATACGAAAATGCAATAGGATGCAATTTTCAGGTCGCGTCGTTTATTTTAATATAGAAAAAAATGAAGCCTAATTGTGCGATAAACAAAATGGATTGAAAGAGATGTTTCTCTAGCGAAGAGCATTTAAATTCAGTAATTGAGCAAAACGAATCACTGCTGACAATTTGCAGTACATTTTCAAATGGAACATTTTCAGCGTTGGTCAGAAAGAAAAAAACTGAAGAAAAAAAAATCTCGGGAATATTTCGGGTCGCTTAATCGGTCCCCATCATGAGTGGGTATTGGCTCGTGTGGGAACTAAAAATCGACAGTCGTCAAGCACTTGGCGATGGATCTTTCTCTATTTACAGTACTTATTTAATTTTTTTTCCGTTCCCACATTCCTTCGAATTGTGTACCGTATTCGCTTGGAAGAATGAGGGGGGAAAAGGCTGAAAGCGACGAAGAACAGAGTGTCGATGATATACAGGGTTCTCGTTACTTGTTCGTCGTCTCCATGGCTGTCGTCGTCGTCACACAGTCGTGCTGATGCCGATCAACCAAAAGCGTCGAACTGACGACAGTGTCGGCGTCGGTGTCGGCGAATAAACAAATTCGCCAGTTCGTGCACTGCTGCTGTTGCTTGGGTTTCAGAGAAAGAGAAGGAGAGAGAGTCTTTGTTTAATCATTTCTGGTCTCGTTCTTTCTTACCCCGTTGGTACACTTGCGTTGTGGAAGGACCGGTAATTAATATCCAATGACGCATTAAAAGTGATTAAGAGCTATGTGTGGAATAATGCCCGAATTCCCTTTGCTCATACAAAAATAAGATCGTTGCCTCTTTTAATGGACTTGGACCCTTTTGAGGGTTCAAGTCCATTGGTTTTCCCAAAAAATGTATGAACCAAGTCTTTATTCATACTTTGAATACAGTTGCTAACTGATCCCTGACACCAGCAATTCTTGAAGACATTTTTGTGGAATTTCATGAACTGGTTACTTTTTTCGAGTTCCCTCGAAATGTCCCTCATTAATGAGTAAATGAATTACTGTGCTGCATAAATCGATAAGCGTGAAATTTTGGAAAATAATAGCAAGAAAGCCCAGAACTCGGAAAACCATGCTAAAATGAATCTAAAAATAGAAAATGAGATTTTTACGTTCAATAAAATTATACTGTAAACGGAGCCACATTTTGATCAGAGAACCATGTTTTGAACAGAAATACATTTTAGATTTTTTCCACAACCCCGAGCGAAAATCTGCGGAAAACCGAGTTTGTTGTGAAAAAAAAAATCCATGATACGAGCTTTCCCGTATCCGGTGTGATATTGAATCGGTTGGCTTGATGGAAGATCACGCAGATCCTTTTGATCGATCCTCGAAATTAGAACCTTGATTAAATTATGGAAACGTTTCTTGTTCATCATTTCGCGAATGAAGTTTTAAAATTCCGCCAAAAATTGAAACCGATCGTCGAATCTTCTGAAACGGGACAAGAACCATAATCCTAATAATTTTTAATTTCTCGCTATCATAATTTTCACCGCTTTACGAATGGACTTCATCGTTTTGAAATTATGGGATTGGTTAAATACTGTAAAGTTTCCGAACAATTTATATTTTCGTTTCACGCATTTCGGTGAGATAGACTTGGTTCCTTTTTGATTTTTGTTACAGAAATTGCTTGGTGCAAGGTTATTTGCATAAACGATATTCGAAAGGTTTAAATGATTATTTCGATTAGCACTGAGTTAAGTTTGTAAAGTTCATAGTGACTTCAAATATGCATTTTTAAATCTGAACAGTTTTCTGGTTCTTAGAAGTATTGTTTGCTTAAAAAATGCGCTGCAATTTTTCCAGAGTGATCTTCATTTATAGTATGCCGAACATTTTTAAATCGGAAACGGAAACAATGGGGAAGTTTTTGAAGATGACTTTTGAAATCATAGCAAAAGTTATATTTCCACGAAGTACTATTATTGATTATGGCAACGATTTTATTTCTCTGAGAAAATTGTGGGGCTATTGGGCTGGGCTCCATTAATTCAAAGTTGTACTCCCAGTCATTTTCTGCCAACGCGTCATTTTACAGCACTTCGAAGTCTTTCTTATTTATTTCTTACAAATGACGAAGAATACTAAAACTTTTAATGAACAGAAGGAAGTGGCGTGAAATTGTCAATGCACGATTTCATAAAGTTTATTGTGGATCACATACATCAAGTGTATTCACTGGAATATAGGACGCCTTGAAAGAATTCGACTTTTCAGGCACAGATCATACATTATTTGATGACGGTTCGGATTATGATAGAAATTTGTCGCTTCCAAGAGTTAGAAATTTGAGCCAACCTAAATTTTGGATAATAAATTTTGATGGGTACAGTTCTTAAAATATTAATGCACTATTATAATAACGTCGCTTCATGAAAATAAACAAGTTGAATAGCGTACAAGAGCAGTGACATCTTGAATTAATCGGAGGAGCCAACGATTTCGCAAAAAATATCTTGCTATCNTTGCGAACTTCGCATTTCCTCACTTTCTTTGCAATAATTTGGTGTAAAACAAGGGATTTGATGGCATCTTTAAGCCTATTTAAATAAAGAAGTTGCTCAAGATCAAGGAAATCTTTCAAATACTGAATTGATAAAGTCTAAAAAATCATGCGGATGAAATGGATCTGACCGGATACTGACGAAATTATTATCACGGAGTAAAATGATCAGAGTGTTCCAAATAATGCTTCAGATTAGAAACTCAATGGTGTGTTTATCGATTAAATTTCATATTCGTATAAAAATTACGGTATGCAGCCAGAGTTTCGTCTGAACGGAGACACGCGACACGTCCTCGCCAACACAGGATACACATGCACCGATCCACTCTTATTTGTATTTTAGAGAAATAAAAAAACAGAGATGAGCGAAAAAGTAATGTTGGAGACGATGGATCAATGATCAATAATCCTCCAGCGGCAATTTTCTTTCCTTGCCAGCTCGTTGGTTCTTTTGTTAGAGGCCCGCGCGTCGTGGGACACATGCTCCCGACAGTGCCGTGTAAGGCCACGTTCGCGCCTGACGATCGCGAACTCTGCTCTCATCAAATCGCTGCTTTTTCGCGTGCCAATTTTCCTTGTTGTGAAAAAAAATATATATATATATACATGTATAAATACTGCGGAAAGTAAAATGCTGCCAAGCGTCCCGGCGAGGGTGTGAACTCTCCTTGCTTTGTTTTTGTGCCATTATTCAGCGACAAAGCCCGGAACATTTCACGCGTGAAGTACAATTCGCCGTGTATTCCCTCAACCATTTACAAAATCACTTGTAAAAAAAAATTAAATATGCTGCAAGATTGTGCGAATCACGGTGCCGAATTTTGTGTGCGCGAATTTTAAGTGAATTGAAGGGTTAAAGCCTCGTGTAATTTACATTATCCAGGAGATCAACAGAGAAGAATTCAAGTCGTATTTTAACTTCGTTTTTTTTTTTTTCAAAGACATCGTTCCTGTGTGTGACCTTGGAAATCTTGTTTGTTGATCCTATTTGTATCTGTTTTGCGGGAGAAGGTGACTGGTGTCCTGTGTACAGCACAGAACAAGAATTAGCATTTTTTCCCAGTAAAGAAAGTACTTGTAGTCGTGCAAAACTGTTCACAAATGTTTTCTGTTTTCTTTTCCTGGACGTTATTTTGTGCCATTGAAATCCATCTGTTTTCCTTGTACCGTTACCCGGTCATACGTTCTGTTTTTTTTTATGCACTGTTCTGTATAAAAACAAAAACAAACTGACATGGGGTTAAAAGGAATGCTTCCCTTCTTGCGTGTGTTTTATGCTGACGGCAAGCGTTTCATTTGCTCCTCACGATTTTGAATTCTCTAACGTTTCAGTTGTGCAGTATTCACAATTGTCTGTGGCAGTTGATGAAAAATGGTTGGAAAGGGGAGGACGAAGACAATGTCTGCGTTATTCTGTAACAGGCCTGCGTACAGTGCGAATTTCTACTGGAAGTACTTGCTCATACCTCGAAGCCATTGGTGTACGTGTTGGGCTGAAGTACTTGTGATGACGATTACGAGATAATCTATCCCAATGAAGTTGGCGCCTTGCTTTTTGAGGTCTTTTCATTAAATCAGTGTCATATCCATGGAAAGTGTCAAAGTTATAATAAGAGGCTAAAATTTGCATAAAAAATAAATAAATGGCGGAGACATGGTGATGCTGTAATTGGCAGTGAAAGTGTATGGATTCCTGTTTTTTTTTTTGGAAATTGAACACAATGATTGAATGTTTCTCATTTCTCTTTGTCTATTTATGCTTTTTGCTTTTGAAAATCCATAGGCTGTTATCAGACTTCCAATTGGTGTTTAAAACACAAAGATTTCAGGATGTCTCCTGAGTTCTTATATTTAATACTGTACCTTACCTTAATATTGTTCATTGAGGTCTGACAACTTTAATTGGTAATTTCTTATCCTTATTGCTGGGATTGTACAGGGAAGACTCCTTGAGTTCATATAAAAGAACAGAAGTGTTTCTTCTTGAATTCAACAAATATGAACAACAGTGACATGTTTCCAACAGCAGTGAACATTGAGCAATGAGCGCACATTTATATAAAGGCAGGCGGCTTTATAGACTTTATGGTTTAAGATTGATAGAGAGGCTCAAGACTGGTCAGATGTACCTAGATCTGACCTCTTCTGGGATAAAGTTAAGTAACTTGGTGGTGCGTGACTTGACAAGGCTAGTCATTGGGACCATGAATGTAGGGAGCTTTAGCTTCAGTGCTGAAAATAGTTTAGCGGGACTCACAGGAAGTTTTGAATAGAAAAGTAATCAAATAAGGCCGAATAAATGACTCTACTGCAATTGGCTGCATGATTGTAGATACTGTTTCATTTGGAAAATTGACTCCTCTCATTGACCTTTGAGAATTTAAGTGATCTTATCTTTCGATTAAAAAAAAAGAACACTTGGCAATTCAGCTCCAATACCAAAAATAGGTTAGGGGGACTTGCAGGACCGTTTCAAATAAATAAGCAATCAAATTATGCCAAAAAATAAAGCTGCTACAATTGGCAGTGTTTGACTCCTCTTTTTCATCTTGAAGAAAATATGGTTATACAATCATGATCTTCTGTTTTGAATTCAGCTTCACTGCCAAAAATAGTTCAAGGGGAAACCCGGGAGAGTTTTTTACAGATGAGCAATCAAATAAGGCCCACCCAAAAATGATACTGCTGCAATTGGCAACGCCATACTGTTTCATTTGACCAAAATGAGGAAATTGACTCCTCTCATATTGATCTTTAAAGATGAAAGTGACCTTCTCTTTCAATTAAAAAAAAAGCACTAGGAAATTCAGCCCAATTTTCAAAAATGGTTCAGCAAAACTTGCTAGACAGTTGAAAATTGATAAGCAATCAAATAAGGTCCCCCAAATATGGTGCTGCTTGAATCAGCAGCATCAGTGATGGCACTGTTTCATTCGACCAAAATCGAGAAATTATCTCCTCCTATTGATCTTGAAAAATGGAAGTGATCTTATGTTTCAAATAAAAATAAAAAAACCTCTAGGCAATTCAGCTCCAGAGTGCCAAAAAAATATTACAGCGAAACTCGCGGAACAGTTTCGAATAGACCTGCAATCGAAAAAGGTCTCCCAAAAATGATACTGCTGCAGTTGGCAACGCCATTGTAGATACTGTACTGTACTGTTTCATTTGACCAAAATGAGGAAATTGACTCCTCTCATATTGATCTTTAAAAATGAAAGTGATCTTCGCTTTCAATTTAAAAAAAAGCACTAGGAAATTCAGCCCAAGTTTCAAAAATGGTTCAGCAAAACTTCCGAGACAGTTTCAAATTGATAAGCAATCCAATAAGGTCCCCCAAATATGGTGCTGCTTAAATCAGCAGCATCCGTGAAGGCGCTGTTTCATTTGACCAAAATCGAGAAATTATCTCCTCCTTGAAAAATGGAAGTGATCTTATGTTTCCATTGAAAAAAAAACTCTAGGCAATTCAGCTCCAGAGTGCCGAAAAAATAGTATACAGCGAAACTCGCGGAACAGTTTCGAATAGACCAGCAATCAAATAAAGCCCGCCGAAAATGGTGCTGCTGCAATTGGCAGCGTCAGTGAAGACGCTGTTTCGCTTCGCCGAAATAGGGAAAGTGACCATCGACTCCCCAGTGGCCCGTTTGCACCACAACTTCACCGTCGGTCTCCTCCTGCTCTGCTCTCTGCTCGTCACCACATCCGACCTCATCGGCAAGTCCATCGAATGCATCCCGGGAACCAAACTAGTGGGTCAAGGCGTCAAAGCCGCCACTCAATACTGCTACATGCAACACACATTCACTGTCAAGAAACACTTTGCATCCTGCGACTTCGGGTCCGTGTGCGACCGAAAGGTCATCGGACTCGACGTGCCTCATCACGGAGTCGGGCCGGTTGTGCTTGACTCTCGAGACCCCGACGAAGTGGCCTACACTACCTACTACATTTGGGTTCCGTTCGTCTTGTTCTTCCAAGCCGGCTTGTTTTACGCCCCGCACTGGCTGTGGAAAATGTGGGAGAACGGCGTGACGAAGACGCTGACGAGTGGGCTGATGGGCAAAACGGCGACCCGGGATGCCCTGGCCGAGAAAACGGCGCCGGTGGCGTCTTACATGGCCAGGAGTTGGCACACGCACGAGATGTACGCGTATAGGTACTTGCTGTGCGAGGTTTTGGCGCTGGTGAATGTTTTGGGCAACTTGTGGTTCGTCAACTGGTTCCTGGGCGGCGCATTTATGGAGTATGGGTCCCAAGTTCTTCAGTTCAGCAATATGGACCCGGAAGAGAGAACTGATCCCATGATCATGTTGTTTCCGAGGATCACAAAGTGCACCTTCTTGAGTGTTGGTCCTTCCGGCACTTTCCAAAAGTGGGTCCTGTCATTTGTTTTTATCACCTACTGCCAATTTATTGGCATTTGATGTGCTTCAAGGGACCAGCATAAGATCGAGTTTGGGAGGTTTTAAATAAATTACTTTTGAACAGGGAATTAAAACAGGGACTTGAAAAAATCGACATAAATAGGTATTCGATATAGGAAGGTTCCAGTTATCCAGATTCAAGTCATTAAAACCTCAATTAACGGTGCTAATGATCGGTTACCGTGTCGCCGAAATAATCGGAAATGACCGCTGCTTAATAAAAAAAATCTAAGCAAGGAGGAAAAATATATGTCAAATTATGACTTCATGATGAGGATATTTTCGTAATTCTCGGAAATCAAGGAGGAAATTTTACCTTTACCTCTCATTGAATGATCATTTAAAAGTCGGTGCTGAATAATTTTTTTTAACTTTCATTTCGTCTCACTGGTTCATCTCATTAACACACATTTCTCATGATTTGCTCGCTCTCTGAAGCTTGTCTACGTTGACGTAAAATTCCAATCGATCTGAGAGAAATTAAGTGACTCGAATCAAAATTACGTGTAATACTGTAGTTGTATAAGCCGCTTTTTTTCTCTGATAAATTTGAAATACTGTATTGATACATAAAATCAGGTGAGGGGTTAATCGATCTTCGGCTGATTGAGGTTTTACTGAATTTACGCAGTTGAATTATTTGTGTTCTGAATTTTGATTTTTTTAAATGCGCACGAACATTTTATTTAACGGTATTCCTTATTATACCTTACAGTGCTCTAAACTCTGAATGTTGACATTTCGACTGTATTTTTCAATACCATGGTGAAGAGTTTTTCAAGTGTTGAAATGCTGGCGGAAACAATTGTTTTATTAATTTTTAACGAGTTCAACGGAACCTGCAGTGATCAAATCTCTTGACTCAACATCTATGGAATTATATTGAATGTCAGTTGCCACTTTTATTCGAATTTGAGGCGCATTTTTTTGTGGCATAAATGCTGTTTTTCTTTTTTTCTAATGAGTAATCAATACTGTATGCTATAATCGCCGTTTAAAAAATGTCAGGATTTCTGGCGCGGCTTCTATAAAATCAACGAAAACATGGATATTGTTCCGCAAATTGAGCCTATGATTTTAAGCGTTTGAAATCGAAATGATTTTACGTGCGAATGTAAAACTCAATTTCGTCACATAATTACATTCGAAATAAAATACAGTTTGTTGATAACATTCATGCATCAGTTACCTAAGTCCTAAGGCATGTCCCCCAAAAAGGCAGAAATTATGATTCTTTTACTTGCAACATCGACTCGAAGAGTTTGTAAGGACTTTTTGATTGAATCTTAGACCGTTTGCTTTTATTCTGAATACAGTACTTCATCAGTAATTCACTTAACCAGTGAATCTAAGGTACTATAATCTACACGCGAATTCTCTGCAGCAAAAATCAACGGCAAAAAAAATCGTTGTGAACAGAATTTCGTTTTAGAGAACCCCTTAAAACATGGGAAGGAAACGTCATGGGACTGAAAACAAATTCGGTATGCAGAGAACATCGTTGTAGATGAGATACGTATTTACTGGAGTACCACGCGCACCTTTTTTCCCAAATTTCAGAAGAAAAAAAGGGGTGCGCGTCATAAGCGGGTACAAAATATTCAAGAAGTTTTAGGAAGTTATGTTTGCATTATACTTAATTATAATGGAGAAATTTGGTACAAATATAACAAGAAAACATTTTTGTATTGAAAAAATTGAAAATTCATCAGATCTTTGTTCAATTCATGCCTGTCAAATTTTTTGTCTTTATTTTTGAATTTTTATGGTTTTAGATTCACTAAAAATTGGGGTGCGCATCTTACTCCGGGATACGATTTTAGCAAAATTTCCAACTGAAAAACCCCTGTGCGCGCCTTACTCGAGTAAATACGGTAGTTGTCCAGAGAGAGTACACCAGCTGCAACAAATACATATAAAGCACGGCATTAAATAAAAGACGACTTGTGATTCGAGTAATGAAGAAACAGTATACTATAATCGCTCCTCCCTCTTGAAAAAATAAAATAAAACAAAATTGTCAAAAATAGGTCGGATTTCTTGTGCATCCTGGCGGCCAACATCATCAACGAAAAGGTGTACATTTTCCTGTGGTTCTGGTTCCTCTTGCTGGCCATCGTGACGCTTGTGAATATCTGCTTCCGACTCTCACCTGCCTTGTCGTACGCGGCCAAGCTCTGGTTCCTCCAGCAACGCGCTGGACACACGTCCGACCTGAACGCGTTGCAGCGAGTCGCCAGTCGGTCCAAACTCGGCGATTTCTACATCATGTACTTCCTCAGTCAGAACATGAGCTGTGGCACCTTTGGCAACTTTGTGGACTCCTTGGACGTGGCCCTGGAAGAAGAGAAGCGAATGCCCTTGTTCCCGAATCACCCGGATGAGGATGACGACGCCGTCGAAGGCGGCAATCATCATGATGCGCCTACGATGCCCAAGGGCTACGTTAAAACTGCTCTGACTGAACTAGGACTCGTCGATAAGCCTGAACAAGTTTAACGGATGAACGTGTTTTTTTGTGTTCTTAATTCGATTCATAGCACTCTGAAAAAGCCTTAGTTACAGGCTTAGATAAAAAGGAAAAACCAGACGCCTTTTGACTAGGTTCTTTACCAAGTAAAAGTAAGCAGAATAAGTACGCATGACATGGTAAAACTCGCCCCCAAAAGTTAGAAGATGAGTCGATTTGCTGTCTCTATTTTTTCCAAGAATATGTGGGGAATTTGAGTCCAAGGAATCCTTCATGGGCTGTTCCACGAAGTATTTTTCAGTGTTCATGCGAATCCATCTTCTGTGCTCTCTTTTACTTTCAAATTCTGCGATTTAGTGTGAAAAATCTCTCTTTTTTTCACGTACTTCATAGGACATATCTGGTAAATAGATATTTTTTACGAGCTTCTGAATCTCGCTTTGGAAGCAATGCTTAAGCATTAATTGGCAGTGATTGCCAGTTGGAACGAAAGAAAAAAATGCATATGGTTAGAAAAAAAAAATTTTTTCCCTGGGCATTTCCATTTTTCCTATTAATTGTTTTATGATCTGCTGTGACGGTGTGCGACTTGATGAAATGCACGTTCCGGTGTTTATTGTTGAGAAAATGTCACTTATTCATTTAGAGTATTATTTGTTCCTTTGTGCGAATGTTCTGGAATATTCTCCTGGTTACGTAATAATTAGAAAACGGTTCGACGTTCCCCGTTTATTAGAGATCACATTCTTCTTCTTCGCGGATCATCCGCGGGATTTCCCCGAGTTCGTGTTTTTCTCGCTGCAATTCGAACAATGCCTTTCAAGAGT